CAAGAACTGCGCCAGTCCCTCGTCATTACACAATTGAGTCGTAAAATTTTACCCCCTCCCCCACTATAAGAATTTGCTCAGCCTACGGCTCTGGTCTTATTACAGCTGTGAGTTCGAATACCGCCGCTTAGCATAATCCTTTTCATTGCTGATTAATGGTTGCCGCTGAGTGGCAGCACTTAGCTGACAATTAACTTACTCACTTCACTCAATAAGCCTATCCCGCTGAATCTGTTATGAACCACCATTTGTTTCATTTATTTAAAAAACGTAGAGAAACATATTGCCTAGTCGGCAACTAGTAAAATTTACGAGCAGCGCTCAATGCATGAATTGACATAAATATTAGCCTAAATAGCATTGGTAGAGTACCTGCGAATATGTTGAGTAGTTAAAATCTAAAATAACTAAACTAGAGTATTGAAATTTCCTAAAAATTAGATGAGATTTATATAAGCTTATTAAAAAAGCAAACTCCAATGCCATAGTCGCCGGCCACTACTAAATTTATGTAATGTTAAGACGCAGTCATACCGTCATCCCCAATCAGTTAGGGTGAGCAGATGAAAAAGCTAGGCACTGCTGATTGGTAATACAAGACGTAAAGTAACGAGAGAGGTATAGTTTTATACACAACAAGTGTTTATTCAATGTTAATGCTATTGGTCGAAGGCGGATGCAACAAACGCACCTTATCAAGAGCTAATAATAAAGAAAGGCTCTAACCAGAAAGAAAAGCAATTCAAACTGATGTATGGACCAACAGTTACTGTCAATTACCTTTTTTAGTCGATAGTTAGAGCTTCTTTTTTTTATCTAAATAAAGATTACAACCCTAGACGCCTAGCGAAGTTTGCCTATAGGCATCGATCAATAACTTAAATTATTTTCAATTCGACTAATGGTGAAATGATCTGGGACTAATGTATGTTATTGGCATAGCAGAGGTGTGCCGGCTACAGCTACCTGTACTTCCATGTCGTATCAGCAATAGCATATCTAGACTATACATACGTACGTACGTACCTACATACGTACATAGATACACCAGATATCATGTTTAGACAGACTGTAACATTTTGCCAGGGTGAGTTTGGGTTGGATGGGCGGGAAGAATAAACGTAATAACTTTTCTTTGAAGATTATATTATACGAATCCTATTGAATTAGATTTATTATGAGTGTTCCTGCATTTTAGATTTACTACATATAGCGTATGAATTTCGGACCATAGCACGCAGAATACGGGATGAATATCTCGTTCGCTATGTAAACATCAGAGTTCACTTCATCGAATAAAGTGTTAATATTCGGGGACGACGCTTGCAAGACACGGGGATCGGCATTTCTCAGTTTTGAAGCAAGTTTTGAACGGACATTCAAAATGTGTACGAAGCTGCTACTGTGTTGTTTTGTCTTTGTAATTGGACACCTGTTAACTGCAGGTAGGTCTTTAAGCAAACTGTCCTTCCTAGATTGTTTTTACATTCGGTTTGAAAATCACGTTTTCCTATAGTTGTCTAAGGTAGAACACGGTTGAGTGTCTAGATCCGTATCAACATATCAACAAACTCTTGTTAAAATTGCTCACCCTTTCTAAATACGCGAGTATATGTCCTCTTGTAATGATTTATGTAGAAATCGTTTAGTATTCTGACAGGTAGTGGCGTGAGTAGTGTCAACGTTATGCCACATGATATAGATAGATAAAAATACTTAGTTTTGTAAACCGACTTGGTTGTATGGCGCACTGTCGCTGATCTGGTCCAGGAGCCCGTTGCCAGAAACAAAATTAACATTAGCCCTAACCTAATGTTTCTGGCAACGGGCCTCTGGTATCCTATTCACTGCATCGCAAATGTATATTACACTATGCGAATTTCTCATTCGTTGATATATTGTGAAACAGCAAAGATGAACTGACGCCCTCACCCAACACACACTCTCTCCCGCTCCCGCCCTCTCTCACACTCACCCGCGCAGTCGCATGCACGCACACACACACACGCGCGCGCACGCACACGCACACACGCACACGCACACACACGCACGCACACACAAATCCACAGGAGAGAGAGAGAGGAGAGAGAGAGAGAGAGAGAGAGCGAGAGATAGAGAGAGAGAGAGAGAGCAGCAGAGAGAGAGAGAGACGCACGCACGCTCTCTCTCTCTCGCTCTCTCTCTCTCTCTCTCTCTCTTTCTCTCGTTCTCTCGTTCTCTCTTTTTCTCCCTCTCCCATGCACATGCGCGCGCACACACGCACGCACGCACGCACGCACGCACGCGCACACACACACATATGGATATCGATATGAATACAGATATAGATGCAGATGCAGATGTAGATGTAAATACAATATCCCTATCATTCTTGCTACTTCTTTACGTCTGTCATTCTTAGAATCGACACCAGTCGTACGAGTAGCAGCAGATGTGCACTCAATAGAAGGCAGCGACACTGGCCTCTCTGTAAAATTTTGCTCCGAGCCAGAGTTTGACGTAGTACGCTGGAGCTGGCAGGGAGTCCCCAAACTTGCTGTAACAGCACCCAACCAGAAGGTAAACATTCTACTAGTACTGCAGGTCCGTATCTAGTGGGGGGGGAGCTGCCTCCAGATAAATGTAGATACATTACATTGTCAATGGCGGTAACCTTCCCAGAACACAACCCGCAAGTGGCTTTGTCCCCCCAGACAAAATGGGTTATCTACGCTCCTTGTAGTGTTTATTGCACAACTCAATTAAAGCTCTGAGAATTAACTATACATACCATTTCTTCTTGATGTTTCCTTGTAATGCTGTACACATCAAACACGATTTCCCATAATCTAACTGTCAGAATGTTTTTTTGTTCAGGCTGTTTATGATCGATACACAGCCGTTGTCATCGCTGATTTGGAGGCTGCTCCGGGGTGCTATGAATCGTTCTTACAAATATATAATGTGCAAGCAGAGGATGAGACCGTGTACCACTGCCATATCTCAAACAGCAAAGGAATGTCTACCGCTACTGTCGCTGTTACCATCGGGCCCGGTTAGTTAATTGTCACCATGGCATTACCCTTACTAGATCTCTTCTCTCACTTTCCGTAGACAAGAAATAATATGTTATTGACACCAAATCAAGCTCGGAATTATGAGATCGTGTACACAGAATCGTTAATTATAATGTTAAAGGTAATAGTAGTTACTACCGAATAGACTTGGTTATTAATATTTATTAATTGATGAATTGTTTGTTGATGGAGTTTATTCTGTAGGCCAGGGTCTATGGTGAAAACTTTCAGATAAATGAGGTTTGTGGATTCAGGGTTATAAGATGCATGCGTGCAAATGAAAAATAAACAAATGTATCTAGCTGTCATTCAGTTACAATTACGGGCTGCAGCACAGTACGTAGACGCGTGTTTTTTGCGATCACAGAGTCGCTGGGCTGGGAGTGGATTCTGCTCATATGCACATTGAGCGTTGCTGCAATTCTCGGAGTTACATTGCTATTGATGTGGGTGTGCCATAGCGAACCACAAAAGGACGCCACGACAGCGCGTCTCGATAGCGAAAAGGAGGTAAATATTATAAACAGTCTTAGTTATTATTAAAATTACAAGTGGTATCTAATTAGAAGCTGCGAAAACATGAACATGTGCCAGTGCCGTGTACGTAAATAATAATCGGTGGTAAATCTAGCTACATGTGATGTAAGCGGACGCTTGAATATCCGAGTCAGGTCCTGGCAAGCTTTGGTTGGCGGGATTCTTGTCCAAAATTAAAGTGCCTGAGCGCACCTCTAAATGCCAGATTCTGATATTTTAATTTGTGTTACGTATAGATTACCGCAGGTTTCAGCCTTATTTTTGTGGAATCATAATTTATTTAGGCAACGTACATATTGTCGTTTACTACTTTTACTTCTTCTCCTTATTAATATTAATATCCATATCAACTGTTATTATTATTATTATAAAGTTAGTAGTAATAAATATTGATATAATAAATAGAAACTGGCTTTAACCCACCGATGTTTTTGTCTTCATGATACTGTCCGTATTGTTCTTTTGTGTAGGTATATTCTACGCTTATTTTAACAGGCTACATGATCTTCTTATTACGTTAATCTATGTCTAATGGTGGCCTAAACATAATATTATATATACGTTTAAAACACATTATAACTGAAATTTATAATGGAAATTCAGCAATCATCATTGATCAATACCGCGAGAAACAGCATAAACAATGATATTTTCCGTAACACGCATGCATCACCTACGGGGCGCCATGCAGGACAGGGCTCAATTTTGTCTAACAAAACTCAATTCTGTCAATCCTGTCCCACAAAACTCAACAGGATTGACAGAATTGAGTTTTGTGTTCACAAAATTGAGTTTTGTGGGACAGGATTGACAGAATTGAGTTTTGTGGAACCGGATTGGAAACTCGATTTTGTTGCCCAAATATGGCACACGCATGTAAGAAGGGCGGTGTCAGGACAAATACCCCCGAACAATCACCCCCCGGACAATTACCCCCGGACAATTACCCCCCGGACAATTACCCCCCATGCCATT